TGTAGCAACACAGAACAGACTACGACACAAGCCCCAGATACTATAATTGATTCAGGAGCCCATACATAAGGAACTAATGGTCTTATACTTAACATTTATAGTTCTTATCCAATCCCCAGTTGCCCCCTTGCCATCTACCCTAAAGTATCAAGATGTTTCCATGTACTGTCCTATATTTATACCCCTACTGCTCAAGCTTCTGATGCAGTAACAGACACAGTTCTTGTTATCTTGGAGAATAGGCAATGATGTGTTTGTTATTAACAGAAACTGGAACAGAGACTAGCAAGTGGTTTATAAAACTCAGATATGGTGCCCTGCATAGAAGTATTATGTATGTATGTATGTATGTATGTATGTATGTATGTATGTATGTATGTAATACATGTGGTTAATATGCTGTAAAACATTGTACATCACCCAAGACGTAATGGTCAAATGAGCCATTTCTACTTCCATACAAGAATCTAGGAGTGGCTTAACTGAGTTGTTCTGTCTCAGGGTCTCTCATGATATAACAGTGAATGTGCCAGCCCAGTGGGATCACTCAGAGGGTTGCTAAAAAGTCTTAGTTCTTTGCCATATGGGCTTTTCCACAAGCCTATGGCATGCCATGGCTTTCTCCCGAACAAATAATCCAAATGAGAAAGACAGCAGTCACAGCCTCTTCGTGGGCTGTCATGGGCAGTGACATCCCTCTGCAACACCTGCTCTGTTACAAGTCAGCAGAGGAGGTGGAAGGGCTTGTGCAGTGACATGACTGTAGGCAGCAGTCACTTGGCATCCCTCTGAGAGGCTATCATATTGAAACCAGTCATGGAAATTCACTTACTGGTCAGTTGAATACCAACTAAATCACTTGCAACCATTGTGAAAACACTAATTGTTAAGACGTATCAATCTTAAAAGGAGTAAGAAAATGTAATTTACGCACGCTGATTCTTGTTTTGTAACAAAATTATAAAACATTTGGACTATAGTGCTTTGAAGTGTAACTGATAATTATAGTGTTAATAAAACAAGTTTTATGGGCAAAAATAAGCATTTACTAATATCCTGATTTAATAATGGATTTAGCAGTAAAGCATGAGATGAACATTGATCAGGAAGATTTCAAGACTCTAATGTATATTTCTACATGGATCAAAATTCTGTGAAATTTTGGCTCTTGTGTTAATATTGCTTTTGCATCATTGTGACCAGTACCCAATACAATAACTTAAAGGATGAAATGTTTATTTTGGTTCTTAGGTTCAGTGAATTCTCCATGGTCTTTTGGCCCAATGCACTTGGGAAGAAAATGTGGGGGCAGGAGCACACAGTAAGGTTGTATCTTCCCTTCTTAGTAAACAAAAAGGCAAGACCAGAGGGCACAGTAGTGCTACATCCTCAAGAACCACGCCCTGCAACCTATTTCCTCCAGCTTGGTCCTTTTGCCCCAAGTTCCCAGAATATCACCAAATGGAGGCCAAGATTTTTAGTACATAGGCTTTTGAAGGGGCTACTTCATATCTAAACCATAACATTATTTTCTGCCCGCCAGAAGTTTTTTTGTCCCTATCACAAATGGAAAGTATACTCTTCCCATCTTCAAGAGGTCCAGGAGAATTCACAGTTGCAACAGTGTTCAAAAGCTCAAGTTCAGGGCTCAGCAGATGGCTCAATGAATGAAGGCACTTGATGTGTGGCCTGAAGACCTGAGTTAGATCCCTGGAACCCATACAGTGGAGAAGAGAGCTGATTAATAACATCTAGTGCATGCACGTGCACACATAAACACAAATTAATTAATTAATCAGTCAATGTAATTTTTTAAATCCTAAGTTAAACATCTCTTCTGGGTCTTAAAGTAAACTTTTAGCTGTGAGCGTCTGTAGAATTTCTTTTAAGTTACCTTCTTGAACATGCATTGGCATGGAGTAAATAATCTCACCCCAAAAGTAATAAATGGGGTGATAGCAAGAGGGATAGGCCCCAAGTAAAACTAAATCCCAGCAGAACAAACATTAGATTCTATATTCCATTTCAAGCACCACATGGTGGCATGATCTAATCTCCAAAGGTTTGAGCAGTCCTCTCAGCCCATGGTCTTATAAGAGAAACCCACATAGACTGTTATATATTCCTCATTTATTTTTAAGTTTTATGGTGTGTGTGTGTGTGTGTGTGTGTGTGTGGAGGAGGGGGGACTTCTCTCCTTCTACCATGTAGGTTCTGAGGATCAAGCTCAAATGGTCAAGTTTTGTGGCAGCACCTTTACCTGCTGAGTCATCTGTCCAGCCCCTTTAAAGATTGGCCTTAAACTTGTGATCCTCTCTCCTCAGACTCTTCAGCATATCCTATTACAGTATACCAGCACAGCTGACCACATAGCTTCCCTGGTCTTGTTCCTCTTCCTGTTTTTCTGGACATGCATTCAGCATTCCTGGGATTACCAATATCCTGAGTTCTCCATGGGAGCTCAGATTTGACTTTAATTGACTGGACTCCCTGAGCTTCGTTTGGAATCTTGGTCTCATCCTTCCATAATTCTTGTCTTCTGGAGGCTTGCAAAACCAATATTCACTGTGACCTGGCTAAAAGCATCCAGAAAAAAATGTGCCATCACCTGAGTGCTATACTGCCTTGACATTTCATCTACCAAATGTAATTAGTCCATCATCTTTAAACAGTTCGACACATAATTTCAGGACCTGGACAAATGGAGGTTTTGTCACAATTAGCACAGACTGCATCAGGTACAATTCCCAGGGAGTTCCTACTGTCATCTGAAACTTCATAGGCCTGTTCTTAAAAGTCAGTATCTCTTATCAGCATTTTGGTCATTCTGACTTCCCACAGAACCAGTCATTAAACACTACTCATAACATTTCAGACTCTCTCTGATCTACACTTCCCAATTCTTCCAAAATAGCATTTCAGAAACTCCCTAATTATACACCCCCCAATTCTTGCAAATTCTACCCACCAATCAGTTCCAAAGGCCCAAGAACCATATGATCAGGAATAGAAATAACAATGACTCTGCGTTCTGGTATCATTTTTTTAATGAGCCACTTTGTGATTTTGTAACCAAGTAACTAACAAACCAACTTAAAGGAAGATTTATTTTAGCTCACAGTTTGACACCATGCACTTGAGCAAAATATCATTGTAGAAGGTGGTGTGTGGAAAATAGCCATCTTCACCTATTGGAATAGAAGAAGCATAAAATAAGAGAGGAAGAACCTTTGACCTACTTCCTTTAGGTAGGTCTTACCTCCAAAAGATTCCAGAACACCAAAATGGGAACCAAGCTTTCAATACATGAGCCTTCTCAGTGTATACTCCTTCATCAAATCATAATAGCCTGTTGTAGAATATTATTTTAAGGGTGTTACATTTGTTTATGCTGTGGAATATTTGTTTAATGATGCAGATGTGTTGCATTCTTTTATGTTGCATTTGTTTAACTGTGAAGCTGTGATACTGTGCCTGTCTAAAACACCTGATTGGTCTAATAAAGAGCTGAACGACCCATAGCAAGGCAGAAGAAAGGACAGGCAGGGCTGGCAGGCACAGAGAATACATAGAAGGAGAAATCTGGGGAGAAAAGGATCGAGAAGCAAGAGGATCAAGGAGCCAGAAAAGAAGAGGCCAGCCAACCTGCCAAACAGCCAGACATGGAATAAGAAGGAAAGAAAAGAAATAGAGAAAGGTAAAAGCCGAGAGGCAAAACTAAGGCTGAGCATTTATAAGGAAGAATGAACCTCCATGTGAATTTATTAAGGAGATGGGTGACTGGATCCCCCAAAGAGCAAAAGAGCCAAAAGAGTAAGAAAAGAAAACCAACTGCAATAACCCTGTCTTAAAATTGTACTCTAAAAGATGCCACTGAATTAGGGAAGGAAGAACTTATACTCTGAATCCCACATGTTAAGCATTCTTTTCTATCAAAGTACCCATGGAAAGGATTATCTGACCCAAAGTTCAATGATTACAAAACACAGATTCACCACACACACTAGGTCCAAAACTCATTTGTATTAACTATGCTCACCTATTAGCCACCAGAGCATTGTTTGATTGTGGCATTAATTACATTCTTCAGGTATGTATTACTATAAGCAAAGTATAAGTACATGTCAATTTTTATATGATATAAACAGAATCCAGTTAATTATTTTGATTGCTTTTATTGAGCACAGCAGACATAGGTTCTCATTTAATTATATGATGGTTCTTGGATGTGTAGGGTATTTTGGAAAATCATAAAAAGCACCTATAGCCTCAAAAGTTTGTGCCTAAAGAGTCTATTGGCAAGCTCAACCTAGGTCCAGTTTCTTGATGCCTTTTCCAATGTCTTCCACTGCTGTTGTACTGAAGGTAGATCAAAAGGTAATCTCTGCCTTCCAAGTCCATACTGTGCCTTGATCAGAATGAACCACACCAATGCCTAATCTCTTGGAAGAGTTTCCTCTAACTCTCTTGACCACTCTATTTAAGCTAAAGATCCCCTCCCAATACCAATATGACAGGAAATTGTAAGTTGAATAAATTAAGGCAACTTTAGAGCCCTGTTTATCTGTAGATCCTCTATCTATAGGTTCTCTAGATCTTGGTGGACAGGAATGGGGGAAGATCAAATATATTCAGAGCAAATTTGATAGAGTAAATGCCTCTGGTACTGGAAGAACCAATAGATGTGACTGAGTGAATACTGCATGAAATGGAAAAAGGAAGGAATTGCGTGTTTGATTGTTATAAGGCTAAAAACATAGAACATAGTCTGGGATACATTTAGGACCTGTAAGTGTTCTCAGAGGAAAGGGGGGTGACTACAGTTAATTAAGTTTTTGTAAGAAAACAGTTTTGGCAAAGGGAAATCTAAAAGTTTGGTGTTCAGGAACAGAGAGCTTGAAGATTTTTAAGATGACAACAGCCCCTAACCTATTCAATCAACATGTTTTTCATCATGATATTCTCTAAAGCAGTCACAAAAAAAAAAAACATAGGAAGGTCTAATGGATGATGCCACCTATGAAACACAACATATCCAGGCAGCAGAAGGCCGTTAAAGCAACACAGATTTCATTGTAAAGTATTAACTTAGAATTATTTCCCTCTGGATAATTTTGAATAAAATATACCCTGAATGCATGGTGGGGTATAAAGCAGACAACTATGACTATCAGGAAGAAGAAACTCTTGATTTGGGCTCTGTACTCTTGATGGGCCCACATATCAGGCCAATAGTCTCTTATCAAACACAGAATGACAGCCAGCTGTATCAGAAAGAGGACCACAACTGTTGTCATCATAATGGCAATCATAGAGTAGTTCAAGATGATGATATCCGTACGCTTGAGGGATCTATGAAACTCAAAACATCGCTGTTGTTCTACATAACTTGGATCTGTGTCGTACTGTAAAAAAAATATTGGCAAAAAGATGAAGTTTCCCACCATCCAAATAATAATACTTAGGACCACGGCATGGAACTTCTGTAACTGTTGCATTTGGAGTTTCTTAAAATAGATGAGCAACCGAAGTGTGACAATGGCCACATAGAAAACAAAGGTAAAGTACATATGACCGTATATGACACCGCTGACCACTCGGCAGGTAAAAGACCCAAGCTTCCAGACTGCTGAGAGGTAGTAGCTGAGGCGGAATGGCAGAGTAACCAGGAGGAGGGAGTGCAGCACAATGATATTAATGATGATCGTGGCAATAGCTGACTGGCTGTTCCTTTTCAACATCATGCGTGACATCACAACTGTTCCAAGGGTGCCTCCAAATAAAACCACACTATAGGCTGCTACCAGAATTGCTCTGCAGTAGACATCACAGTGGTCTCGGTCCACACTTGAGCCATTTGACACGGTGGTTCCGTTTATCACACCCATGGTTTGTCATGAAGAAATCAGATGATAAACTGCTAAATCAAAAGTTTTACAAAATTATGATTGACATATTAAAACTAGGCAATCATGTACAAATATTGAACTTTTCAATCCTTGGTGACTCTCTAAAAACCTTGAGATCATGCAAAAGGAGTACTATTGTAGATTCCTCTCGGTAATTCAAACAAACTAGAGACAAGAGTGCATGGAACTAAATAAGGAAGTTGAGTTTGACTGTAAAGTTCAGAGCTGTACCCCTAGGCATTCAACAGCCAGATATGTTCATTGTACACATATCAGGACAAGAGGTGGCATGAGAGAGAAATATCTATGTAGTATGTAAAACTCAAGAGCCCAAAACTCCCTCAGTAATAGAAATAAATTGTGTATGTGGTACATGTGTGCTCACACGTGTGTGCATGTATACCTGTGTGGAGGTCAGCTAACTTCAGGTTGTCTTCCTTCTCAGTGACTCTCCACTTTAATTTTTGAGACAGAGTTTCTCAGACCATCTGGGATCTGTCTCTCCAAACCCTTCTCCCACCTCCCAGAGCTGGGATTACAGACAAATGCCTCCACATCTAGCTTTTACACGGACTCTAAGGAGGATCCAGGCTCAGGCCTTCCTGCTTACAGTGAGCCTCTCCCCAGCCCACAAATAGAATTTAAAGGCAACATATTCATGTTACACAAAATAAGCAAATTTAAGTGAAGTTGGCGTCAGTAGAAACCCAGTGCCCATCAGATCAGATTTGTAAATACAACCCCTCAATTTTCAGGCAAATGGGTTTACAGCAATGTAGAGAAAACCCACGCAAATCATGTCATTATCATACAAGGTGTGTCAGGTGACATTTGAGATTATTTTCTGGGAGTGGTTTTTGAGGAAGAAGCCCCTTAGCACATGCGGATCCCTGGACCTATCTATTTCTGCTTAAATCAGGATCCTTTCATGCACTGGTGAGTTAGATTTCGGTGCAATGCTCTTGGAGGATGGTTTGCTTGGTTGTTATTCAAGTTTTTCAAGTGTGAGAGTTTGAGGGGAAGATCACAAAGGGAGCAACTGGGGTGGCTTTCAGCCATCCGGCAAATACATGCAGTATTTAGAGACTGGGAATGGGCCCCGAGCCACTGCAGATTCAGGAGCTTCCACTGTAGGAGGAGGAAGGCTGTGCTGGCTGCAGGAAATGGTTATTTGGACATTTAGTGTGCTAGTTTGCTTCAGGCAACTTTATGATTAAAAAAATCATGATTTTTAATATTAAGTTATAAGATATAGTCTTAGCGCTTAACTTTTACTCTGTCACCATAGATAATTAGGATATTTAAAATTGTCACTGCATCAATATGTGTTTAAGAAACATCTCACGGTTTAAAGTGAAAATAATTTCTCGAGACCTCTGTTCTAATATTATGAGACCCAGGCATTAGCAGCTCCAGCTTCCAGTGGAGGCTCTGAAGCTCGTCCTCATGTGCCTCCTGCCTACCTGGTGAGAGGTGGAGTAGAATTATTTGTGTCTGAGTGAGAAGTCATTCACATGCTAAATCTAAACAGTTTGGAGATTTTTCTGCAAATATGACATTTTTTTGGAGAGAATAAGATAATTTTTTAATTTGTTTGAATCTATCATAGTTATTGCCTTCAATAAGATTTTATGCCAACTTAAAAACATTACAACTTAGATAACAATATAAATTTTTATGGACAAAATGAGCATTTTAATAAAGTTCATACATTAAAAATATGTAATATTTGCCTACTTTTATATGAAACTTTATCTTATAAGATATTAAAATCAACAAATATAACACTAATTTAGTGTTTAAATTTTGGTCTTTTTCAAATCTAAGTGTATATGATTTAAGTTTGAAACTAACTTAAAGCAGTTTTGAAATTTATTTGAATTTGAATTTTGAAATTAATTTGAAACTAACCAAGCCTGAATTATCTTGCATTCCCACAGCTAAAGTGTGCATGTCCTAAGGCAGAGGAGAGAATTTGGGAAAAGACAAATAGCCTCACCAGTAAGCAATTGCTTTACAATGAGACAGGTATTTAAACTTCCTTCTAGCTATTAAAAAAAATGAATAATGCCTCCCTTCAAGAATTAATTTGGATTGTATTCATATAGAAAACTGAAATCAGGACACTTGTAGGAAAAGACTCAAAAAGACATGTACAGCAAGTAGAACCTAGACATAAAATAATCTCTGTGCATCCATACATCTATGTGTTGGTATATAGATGTGTATGAAAATTAGAAATTAGTCATGAAATTAGAAAAGGGAGCATGACAATAGAGAAAGAGATCTTAAAAGAAAGGAAAAACAGAAAGTACTACATTTAAAAAGGTGGACACAAATGCTAAATGAGCACTGAGTTATTCACCTGGTCCCTGTGTAATATTTTTCATAGGCAAGATAACTCAAAGTGGGAATTGCTAATCCATACACCATGTCACTCTTAATTTCATCATAAATTTAAATTGCTCTGCAAATTATTTTGTATTCCTCTGCCAAGAGTACAAGAAGGTTTGTGCTTGATGACAACTAACTTTCTGATTGTGTATTTGTTTGCTTTTGTTTGTTGGTTGGTTGGTGTAATAGATAAACTCTGTTAAAAAATTATAAATAAATAAATAAATAAATAAATAAATAAATAAATAAATATTCAATTACACCAAAGAACTACCTCAAGACTGGCTTCCTATTGTCTCTCAGGTTGAATTTCTTCTCTCTTTTCTTCATCAAAAATAAACAGCTAGGACACAGAAGAGAAAAATACAAAAGATGTCAAAGTAAAGGATGTTTGGAAGTAATAACTACTCATGCTAAGAAGAAAACATAGGAAAAGAATACAACACTAAGTAAAATATTGGTGGTTGGGAACTCCACTACACTTCATCCTTCCTAGGCATACAACTGAGTAGTATTTCTCAGCCTTCCTTTCAGTCAGATGTGGCCATGTCCCAGAGATTGTTCCAGAGGACATGGTCAGGAGTGGCATGTGCTGCTGAGTTCCTTCTCTCCTCTGCAGACTGTCATAGAGAAAATCAGGACAACTGGGTTCACAAGCTACCTGTTGGATATGAGAGAGGCTATCATAACCTGGTCCTCTAAAAGCATCTTTGTGGTGCCAGAGACAGCATGACTGAGTCCCTTTCTAAGCCTGTTTCACATAGAAACAATGACATTCTGCTTTGTTGCTTTGGTGATTATGGGAATTTAATAGTCAATGTAGTTTAGCTAACCATATCATATATGTGTGTACATGTATGTAAATATGTATATGTATTTATGTATCCATGTATATGTTTAATCTATGTAGTTTGTCATTATTTCAAAGAAAATTAGCATAAAAGACAGGGGATAAAGATATGGTATTAAATAAATATAGCATATTAATGTGCTTCAAGATGAAACAGAATATTAAGTGCAAAAAATAAAAATAAAAAAATAAAAAGGTGGACAGTTTGGGGAAGGGACGTAGACAATGGCGAGCAGAGGTAAAGGAGGAAGACAGTGGGGGAGGGTGAGTAAGAGCATTGCAGTGTAATGGTGCACATGATTAAAAAGATAACGAAACGTTCCCGTGTATGCTAACTTAAAAATAAAAGAACCTAACCGATTTCCTGATACCTTACGTTTCCTCCTCTATAATGTACACGAAGACATTTCGCATGACACAAGACTTGCCCTGCCTTTTATTATTTCTCAGAAACTTCCTACATTTTCTCTCAAAACTTCATACATTATGACTACAACACCACTATCCTTCAAAGGCCTATCATTAATTCTGGGTATTTCTTTGCTCATTAAAACCAAGTACCAAAACTTCCTTCCACCAAAAACCAAAGACAGCCGCCGAAAGCACTTACCTGCTCCTTTCCAGTTGTGACTGGTTCTGGTGGAAAAGCCCAAGGCACTGTGGTCATCTGTTGGTCTATACGTGATCAGGCAGTCAAAGCAGTTGCTGGAAGGAAGACTGCCCTGACACAGCAGTCAACAGAACCACGAGCAGGGTCATGAATAGAGGGACTCGCTCAAGCCTTGCTCTGAAGGCTCAAGAAGTCCAACAGCCGAGATGCAGAGTCGTGATAAGTCATCTGAGCTCAAACGGACATTTATCTCTACAGTGGACAGATTCAAAACCACTCCTCAGTGGAGAGACTTTTGTTTTCACTCCCAATGACTTCTTTGCAAAATTAAGAGGAATCTTCCAGTATGGTTTCTCATTCCGCTTTTGTGTACCACCCCAAATGTCCTGTACTCAGAATGAGAAAGGTATGGGGAAATTCTCCCTGTACAGCTTTCTCGCTGGTGGTATCCTTTCATGTTCTGTTGTTCAGAGGCTCCCTCCTCCCAGGCAGGCTGCTTTATAGAGATATGATTCTCTTGAAGACTGGCCTTTGACTGCTTGAACGTCTACCGAGGGTTTGTTTCTCCCAATGGTCCCATCTTCTCACACAAGCTGTCTCACCCTCTGGCCTAACCTCACAGTCATCTTTAGCTGTCCTAAGACATCGAAACATAATGTAAAACAAGTGTGAATTTAATACCAGAGAAAGATAAAAGGGACCAACACACCTTCAACAGTTGCAGACAGACCTGCCCCAGTCACACCAATCAACGTTCTGCAGAAACTAAAAACAACTGAGATATTATTGGCTGTAATGCAAGCTCATTAAGGCCTACACTGGAGAATCAATGGAGACTGTTTTCCAATTGTTTTAGAAAAAATAAACATCACCTGAACCTGTGCCATCTGCTACCCAATCATCCAACAGTGCTTATTACTTTGAAGATGTAAAATTACAGAATCTACATGTAACAGACCCTTCTGCCTAGTTAGTTAAATAAAACTTTAAACAAAGGACAAAAATTTGACTCTCACTAAGAAAGTAAAAATTTTACCAGCTCAACTCAGCTAGGGACAAAAAAATCACATGGAAACAATTTTCAACCAATTGTAAGCATCTCTTTTTAAGTCAAATTAATTCATA